AATTATAGAGATACTGGAATTTGGATTCTGAATATAAGATCAAATAAACTGCTGCCACTAGAAATTCTTATTACTTGCAGATGTGGCTGCTAAAGCATTTGTTCTCTCAGCTTTGGAAATTATAAGGCCCTACTCCAGCTGAATGGATTATAGAATGGGGTGTTGTGTTGAAGGATCAAACTAGAATGATATCCTTCCATATTCACTACACAATTCACTCTATCTTGTTTCTTTTTAATTGTATTTCTATAATAGGAAAACAATCTAACATAACTTATATGAAAGAAAACTATGTACAAAATTACAAAGAAATATGTCAATATTATGTCAAACAGTAAGAACATTCCAGGTTACTGATATTTTTGGTACCTTGGCACTTTTTCCTCAATTCAGAAACATATGCCAAGTATTAAAATTACTGCAACGAAGTCTCAAAATTATGATGAGAAAAACATTGAATTCTCAGACACTTCTTGTCTCAGACATACAGGGTACTTACTTATTCTGACAGACATGCCATAGGTAAATTCATTATGATGAACATTTGGGAACAACAGAGGGTCAGCTGTGAAAGTCACAGTCTATTAATGTTTTATCACATAAATGTTAGGTGGGGCTTCAATCTGGTGAGCAGTACATCCATGGCATAACTGTCACATTTTCATATTATACAAGAGAGAACTGTCACAAAAGTAGGATGTGGGCATGCATTATCCTGCTGCAATGATGTCACAACAGGATGAGCCTGCAGGAAGGACATCAAGCGAGTTCCCTGGACCTGAGCAATGTAGCACCATGCAGCCTGATTGCCATCAATCTCTACAAGCGGAATTTTGTAGAGACAAGGCACCCCTGCCTAGAACACCAAAACAAGGCAAGCAGAAGGGTCTGTTGTACACACCAATTAATTTAATTCAGGATCAGGAAGGTCTACACAAAATCTTGATTCATCACTAAAGAGGACTTCAGTCCACTTGTGTCATTTTGACCTAAGGCGACTTACTGTACTTCAGTCTCCAGCATACTGTTGGAACAAAGGTGTTGTTCTCTTGATACATGGGGCATATTGCCACCTTTCTGTGTTCTTCTTCCTTGGTTTTAACGAGGTTTGACATTCAACAGGCCAAAGGACCACATCGCCCGTGCCCAATCAACCTTCTCACTAATGTGGTGATTAATGTTGACACAAATGTTGTAGTGGTTACTTTTTTTTTACATGCATGGAGCTTAAGGTTTCTTTTAATGCTCAGTGTGCATTTCAAGAAAATACATTTTGTTTTGACTTTTTTGAGTCTTCAACTGACTGGCTGAATAATATGTGCTGCATATGTGTAAGGGTAATAAGTGTTGTTTTTGCTGTTTTTATTTGGTCTGCACTGGGGCAAATTTCTATCGCCTTTGCTGACACAGTAATAGAGTATAGAATCTTGAAGCTTTTTTTCTTTGATGCGTGGTGTGTCATACAGCAAAAACCAGAGCCAGCATGCCTCTTCAAGGTCAGTTCAGCGGCAATTCAATGGCAGCTCATACGTCTCCTTTGCCAAGAAATTATTAGAGCCTGACTACATAATGAATTATTTTCTCAACGGTTGGAGAACCTTATATGACTGTGGGATGCACCTGATTTTTGAATTAACACTTCAGAAATGGATAGGAAATGAAGAGGTCTAACTTCTCTGTTCTGAAAGGAGAAGAAGATTCCAAAGGTGGAAAAGGCATCGGTTTCAGTGCAGCTCCGTGAACAAAAGTGGGGAGAAATTAGATCTCCTGCTGGGGGCGTGGGGGGGGGAGACATTGATTTCTCACCACGACCTTCCAGTAAAAGGCAGATCTAAGATGTTAACAGAAGTTAAAATTCTCTTGGCAATACTTGAAGAACCATTCAAGATCTGATGTCTTAATAAGTCTACTGCACTGCATGTGTTCTGTAGGAGATCGGAGAGCCCGCAGTTTTTATATCCTCACTTCTAACTGCCATAAAATCCCACTATCGTGATCAACTGGCCCTCTCTGCACATTAGAAAAATACATCACTGTTTAATTTACAGATGTTTAATTAGGGAAACATCATCCTGTCTTAATAATTTACCTCACCTCCCTATGATATCCCACTGTTCAAGATTTAGTGCTTTATCAGGTTGAACCTGCCAAGAGCAACTACCATCTTTGGGAACTTTCTCCCACTGCACCAATAATGTGTTAATAATTTGACTAGAAGACAATATTAAACTTTCTTTTTTAAGGAAAGTGCTTTTTACTTAGCTTTCAAAACTCTATCAAGAGTGTTTTGATTTGGTTTGGAGCTGCAGTCCACACTATTTAAAGATTCAACTCTGACTCAATTTTTTCATTTCTATGGCTCCATGCAGTCTGTGGGATATTTGAGTGCACCAGCATAAAACTGTTTTTGAGCAACAAAAGATGTCGATTTTCTAAAGAAATGACATTCATTACAGCACAAGATTCATTCATCTATCCACTTTCCAACCACTTTCTCCATACAGGGTCACAGGGGAGCTGGGGCCTATCCCAGCAAGCAACATTCTCAAAGCAGGGTACACCCTAGATGGGATACCACTCCATTGCAGGGAAGATACTGTACACAGACATACACACACCCACATCAGGACCAGTTTTCCCAAAAGCCAATTAAACTACCAGTATGTCTTTGGACTGTGGGAGGAAACCAGAGCACCCAGAGAAAACCTATACAAACAGATGATGAGCATACAAACTGCAATGCTAACCACTGTACCAACATGCTGCCCAATATGCATCTAAGTCATCTGAAAAAGTTGCATGCATTGTAACAATATCCCACATTCAAAAACCAAGAGGGATAAACTACCACAACAATGGTTAATCAAGGCTAAAATACTCCTCGTTAAGTTAGAGGAACAGCCAGAAGATGTTATTAAGAAGAGGAAGATGAGAATGATAATTATAAGAAGGCACAAACAGCTTTCTTAAGAAAGTGATGTCATGACCACAATCACCCAGTATCCAGCAGTTCCCACGCACAAGTTACCTTACAAAAACGTGTTTAAAAAGTCTTTGTTTTCTTGAGATGTTATGGTTAGGGTGGAGAAGACGATAAAATTAGGCCACTCAGTGAATATTTTAAAAGCCTCATCCATTATTGACTAAATGGATTTGCTTCATGTAGCAGACTGGAAATTAAATCTCTCCAGAGTCTCCTCACAGCCAGAGTCACTAAGTTCTCATTGGTTCCTTACATCCCTTCTTCACCATGAACTGAGTCACAGCCTTAACACAAGGATACTGCTGAAGGCTTTCACATTCACTAGAACATCAAATGAGGCCATCTCTGAAGGGCACCCAGATTAAAACTAAACATTGACGTACTGTAGGGTGGATGGTATACAGCATCTGAAATATGCTTGTTTTTCACTAAAATAAAGAAGAATTTAGTACTAGAACTAGTACAAGCCCTTAGCAACACAAATTTACGGAAAGGACTTTGATGACACCCTTTCATTTTGACTTTTCTAAAAGGGGGCAAGACACTCAGACAGAAAGCTGTTTAATATAAATGGAAATGAGACCTGCTGAGCTCTTAAGGTCCCTGTTTCATAAAAGAAAAAGGAGAAAAATATATAAGATGATATATAAAGATGATAGGCAATAATAATCTCTGTGTTATTTTCTTTCAAGGAGCTACAGACAAAGATGAAGGCCCTGGCGGTTCCCTTAATGGAAAAACATAAACCTTTTCTGTTGCCATCTTCTTTGAGACACATTCCTGATTGCTGCGGGAAACCAAGATTACAGAGGGCAAAAAAGTATGGTTCTACAGAACCCATATTAATAATACCTTTAAAATAAAGCAATTAACCAGAATTTATCTTCTCATTAAAAAATAATACCACAATTACCATATTTGTGCTGTCACACAGCATTCAATGAAGTACACAGGCACAGGAGAGGATTTATCAATTCCCCCATGCAGCTGCTACATTACTGATTTTATCTTTGTTGCCTAAGGCAAGCTGCAAACCCATGGGTCTGACAAAATATCCCGCCACTAATATCTTATCAGGCATTCATGAGAGGCGTTCTATACAATTGTACAAGAACATGAAGTGCTTCTTCATTACACAAAAGAGCCATGGTTGATCTAGTGTGATCTCAAAATCTAAAACATAATTTAACAGTTTACTAAAGAAACTAGACAAGAACAGATTAGCATTGGGTATGTCATCTACTGTATTCTCAATATTGTATCACATTAATTAAAGTAAGCAGGGAGTACACAAGTCTTTGAATTATAGCCTGAACCAGATTTTGCCATGAATGTATTTAAATGCCTTTCAATTGGGCATATCTGTGAAAGAATAATGTCAAGTCAGATTTTTTTATACTTCTAATATATAATTTACCCATAATTGGTTGCTAATTGATACACATTTTTTCTTATATCTGATGCTGGCTTGTTCATTCTGTTCCTTTATTCCAGAATCCATGTGAACTTCCACCAAATCAAAATCTCATCATTACGTATCACACTCTTTCAGAATGGCTGACAAATATACATGGCCAAAAATGAACAAAGCGTTAGTCATATGCTCAGATTCTAGCATGTTTATTGATCCACTCGAGTTGCACAAAACCACTGTGAAACACATCCGGTCACAACACAGAGTACGCCAATAGCTGAAAACAGCACGCCAATCAATCGTTTGCAATACACAAGGCCATAGTCCTGCAGGACATCGACAGCTGTTCCTGATCCATTCCTTGATGTGAATTAAGATTACAATGGAATATTCTGATCAATGCAGCAGTAGTTCTCACAAAATTTCCAAAACAACAAAAATATCTCTTAATGGTCAAAGAAACGGGTTTAATCGGCCCAATTCATCCTTCAAGAAACGCACAGCAGTAATCTATGCAATAAAGACCAGGTGTCGTGAAACCGAGGTTACATCCCGCCTGTCTCAGCTGCTGGGAAGTGCTGCAGACGCGGGCTGGATACTCACTGGTGGTGTTCCCGCTCATCTGGATGATGCACTTGCTGTCGCGGGCCATCTCCCTGGAGTTGAAGGGGCGGACCCTCACCGCCACCTTCACCGAGGCGCCTGCCATTTGCTGGGCGCTTAGAGTAGGCCGAGGGCTGGGAAAGGGGTCCGACTGCTCCTCTGTCCGAGCCTGGGGAACAATGAAAAAACAGTGTTGTTGATCCTGAAGAAAACGTGGACCTAAAAAACAATGTACAGTAACTTGCAAACAGACAGTGCTACACATTCCACACAGTGTTTGCTATATTGCAGTTGGCACTGTGGCGCAGTGGTCAGCATTGCTGCCATGCAGCCCTGGTACCCTGGGTTCAATTCTGGACCTGGGGTGCTATCTGTGTGGAGTTTGTGTATGTTGTGCCTTCATTCATGTTGGTTTCCTCCCACAGTCCAAAGATATACCAGTAGGCTAATGGGCTTCTAGAAAAATTGTCCTCATCTGAATGTGTGTGTGTGTGTGTGTGTGTGTGTGTGTGCCCTGGGATGGACTGGTGTCCCATCCAGGGTGTACCCTAACTTGCATCTGTTGCGTGCCCTCCCACTCCCCCATGATCCTGAAGGAAATGTTGGAGAATGGATAGATGGATGGGGCACATTGTGCAATCAAGCACTGGCCAGTTACAAATGACGTTCTGAGGTTTTGTCCAGCACCCATTTGCAATGAATCCCCTTTTTTGTCTCTTTGAGTTTCAGAGCTGATCATACTGCAGTCTACCAGGGCTCAATATCTATTGATTCGATGCTTCAGGAGAAAAAAAATGATCTAGACCCAAAGAAGATTTAGCCTTCAGTGTTATAACAGCTGGAACAATGGCGTGAAGCTGCAATCAAGCTTGCTATCATTTAGAAGCAAACTGGACTGTGTAGCTTGCCAAGTGTTGCAGAATCAAGTTTTCCAGTAGCCCTTTGAAAATTGTAAAAACGTAGTTTACATCATAGCTCTTCCCTGTTTTTTCATGTTATTAGCCTTATGTTTTATATAATGTTTAACCATTTTTTTCTAGTTGAATGATGGTTTTGCTGGAAACGTTCCACGTCAGCTTAATGTTTCAACAAACCATAAGTTCTGAGAAGACAAATGGTTGGTAATTGTGCACTGCACAGCAAACTAGCAACACACAAATCCAGAAAATACAAAAGTATGTTAGGTGGGTGAACATCTTTTGACCTTCTATGAGTCATTTCCATCAAGATTTTCAAAAATGACAAAGTAAGAACGAGTTTCAGAATGCAATTTCTATAATCTTTTTTCAGATTCTAACTAGAACAGTATAGCTTTCAGAGCATTTACTATAAATGACACTTGCCTCTATCACCTTAATAAACTAAAAAGTAAGATAATAAAGATATTTGGTTACATAAATCATGCTTGAACAATCATTTTGCAATCTCTTTCTTATTTTTGACTTGATGTCTTTAAATTCGGATTCAAGATTCATTTTTCCTGAGAAAAACAATGAGTGTGGTAAATAGCGTCTCACACAGACAGAAAAAGATGGAGCCTCACAGAATACACACAACAGATGAAACCATAAAAACAGCAAAGAAGAGAAAAGAAAAGCTGATGTAAACTACTCCTTTACCCCACATATCTATCTGGCTCTTTATTGCACAGCCTCTTAGCCAGGGTGTGATCCGATTTCTGCAATCCACACTATCGCATTAAGCAGAGAAGGCTGTGAGCATTAGTACATGTATAATCAGGGACCAGATTAAGAGCAAGAGCCGCCATACACAAGAGGTAGAGGTGCACGAGAATCTCAATCCTGTGTACCAATTTTGTAATGTTGCTGGCAGAAGAAAGGAAAACGTTAAAACGACCATCGTCCTAACAAAATAAAGAGGTGGGGGACCTGTCATGTCTGGGATGGAATCACAGCAGTGTGATGAGTCAGTGAATGGTACCTTGCTCATGAGCTGCAAAGAAGAGTATCATGTGACTACACCGTGAAAAGTAACTGAACAGTTTACAAAAGTGAGACTTAAAAACATTCACAAAGAGGGCGAGTGTGATATTGCTCTTTAGGACGATGCTACACGAACACTTTCAGAGTACCTCTCTGGTACAAAGAGAAAATGAACGAATTGCACTTATCTTATTATGCAGTTGTATTGTAAGAACAGTATATTTTGCTTTTATTTAGTATTGGAAAGCAGTCATGGGTGTCCAATCCTGGAACCAGACGGTTGTGTGTCTGCAAGCTTTGGTTCTGACTTGGCATTTAACAAGCTGGTTACTGGCTTGACTGGACAGCTTTCAGTTTCTCCCTACTCTTCAGGTGTTGCTGCTTTAATGAGACTTGGAAAGCCTAAACACACACACACCTGTGCTCCTGGACCAGCACTGGGTACTGCTGGACTATTATTTCTGTAAAAACCCTGGGGACATACAACAGCGATCTCCAGTCCTTGTACTGGAGCCCAATGTCTTTACAGGTGTTCAGGCCAGGTGGGTTTATAATGACCTGAAACAGCTTGTTATTGGCTAAACTGGACCAGGTTAAGTTTTCCTAGCTCTTTGGATTCTGCTACTTTAAAGAAAACCTGCAGATGCACCAGCCCTCAAGGACCAGGGCACCTCTGCTGTCCCCCTATGTCCGGTTCACCTATTCTGTCTTATGCAAGTTGGATTTTAAATATTGTGTAAGGATCTGTAAAGCAAAACTAAGCAAATAAATGTTTAAAGGAAACAGCAGCTCCCACAAAAGTAGATTGATTTTCTAGCTTATAAAGCTTCAAACTGAGAAAGTTTCAAAAGAAACATCACCTACTGTATGACTGCACAAAGTTAATACCAGGAAACAGAATTTTTTTTTTTTAATTTCACTGAACAGATATGACATAGGTCAATTCATTATACTGAACAATAATTCTTATCAACAGGACTGATCAACAGAGGGTCTACTGTGCAAGTTATATACTAAGATAAGATCACTTTATTAGCCATATACAATTTCTTGCATTAAAAATTGTTTTTTTGCATACCCCAGCTTGCTCTCCATGAGATACATAGACAGGGAATGACGCTTGGGGTGAGAGCGCAGGGTCAGCCATTTATACAGCACCCCTGAAGCAGTTCTTGTTAAGGGCCTTGCTCAGGGGCCCACCACAAAGTAGGATTCCTCTGCCGGCCACAGGATTTGAACCAGCAACCTTCCAGCCACAAGCACAGATCCTTAGCCACAGAGCCCCCACTCATGCTACTAGTAGCATCTGTCGCTACAACAGTACACACACTTTGCACCAGATTGCAGAAATTGTTTTGTAGGATTCCAACCCATTCCTCTCATTCAGCCAGGACAAGCATGGAGCTGGTCCCCTTGATGCCAACTTGTCATCCCAGCTCAATCCACAAATATTCAGTGGAGCACAAGGGGGTATCCATGGTACAACTATCACATTCCAATCGCTGAACAATGCCGTTGATCCATGAGCAGTGTGGTGTCCAGCTGGAGTTATGTCAGCATGAGTGATGCGTCATACCAGTATGCCAACTCCACCAATCACTACAGGCAGAGTTCTGTAGTGACTTGACACCCCTGCTCAGATCATAACATGTGGACCTCACATATACACACAATAAAGAGCATATTGTTTCACCCATCTGCACAACACTGGCTGAAGCATGTCAAGGTGGGCTACTCAAACCCTGATTCATTACTAAAGAGGGCTTAGTTTTGATTCTGGGAAGTCCAGCTCAGTGGACTTAATCCATCCTTCAGTGTATGGATGGGTCGAATGAGCAGAGCAAATTGGCTTCTCTCTGTCACTTTCTTTACAGATTTTCACTACACAAGGCTTGACATTCACGTAGAGCGTTAAGTCACCTGTGCCCAATCAGCTCTCTCTAGTGCAGTGATTCACGCTTACACAACATGCAAAGTCATTCAAGTGCATCATGGTCAGCCATGGGTGCTTATTTAATCAATAAATATGTCTACTTGTCTACCTTATTTTTCTAAAAACATAAATGTAATAGTGGAGTGAACTCTTTCTCTTAATACTCAATACATTTAAAGCTATGATGATACTGAGACAATTTTTCCTTCCTAGTCTAAATACAGTTCTTTCCCAGGACCTGACAGATATAACGCAAAGCAATGTAATTTATTAAAGTTAATGCTTAGTGCTGGCCTATCTTAGATGAATTTATTCGCCCCTTAGTGGTATGTACCCCAACCATTATGGACAAGCTGAGTTTTTTGGGCACTATCATCCCCTCTTAATGCTGATACTTGCTTTCTCCCTCCCATTGGACAAAAGGTTATCTGCAATGCCAGCTTGGCAATGACTACCCAGTGCAGTACAGAGACTTTCAAAATGGCAGCCTGAATGAAATTCAGAATTACTCAAAATGCCACCAAATAATTTCCCTTTTAGCTTCTCATGGTCAGTATCTTAATGTCTTTTTGAGTAGAAACCTCGCATACATACGTGGCATTTAAAATCCCCCCAGGAGACTTTAAATGGGAAACAAAGGCTTTGTTCTGGCTGTAAATGCTGTGATCATCAACAGTATCTTTCTGGTGCAGACTAGACCGGAAACATACCGCTTTTACCGTACTTTGAGGAAATCACATCTCCAGATTTTGTTTGTTTGATGTTATCTACTGTAAAAAAAAACTGCATTAGTGATATTTTCTTTTTTTTAAGCCACTATGATTCTTTTGTGAAGATTATTACTTCAGAGCTTGTCTTTCTATTAACATGTACATTCGTATTAGATTTTATTACTTTTCTAAACAGTTCTATTTCTTATTTGAAAACATATAGTATGGTCATGTTCTTTGTTGTATTTTGCGCATGGTAATTGCATTATGAATGCAATTAGGTTTTTTTGTCACTTCAGTAATTTTACGTGAATTACACGAAACTGCGTTGTTACCCACTATATACAATTATACAAAAAAAAAAGGCTCACACGCGACGGATAAAATTAAGTAGGTCAGAGACTTGACATTACTTTCTAAAATAACCTTCACAGCCCTGTCCCAAATGAGTATCTATCGTTTTACTTGATTTTTTCGGGTTTTAAATCTAGAATTTAATGAAAGAACTCTCCCCTTCAACGTTTCAACGTTTTCGCTTTCTCGCTCGCTACTCCCTGTTTCTATAGACGGACTGCCCTGGCTGTCTGGCGAAATGGGTGCGTCTTCCTGCAGGAAGCGAAGAATAGAGGGTTTTATTTGGAGAAACACCTGCTCTATAATATTAACGATAGCGGCACGACAGAAAACTGTTTTTAACTCGAGTTATTGTTAACAGTATTAATTATAATTATATAGCTGTGCTCCTGTTTAGAATAAGAATCATCGAACAGAATGTTGGGTACAATTGGAACGTTCGACAAATTATATCAGAAAAATATTTTTTTCTTACTTTTGTCAAAATAACTCCTATAGGTGTTCAGTTCTTAATACAGACTTAATAGTTGCAAGTATAAAAATACAATTCTGAAAGCGCCGTCACAGTATTCACGGATGTGTATGTTACAATAAATAATGTATTGATGGAAATGCGCTCGAATTGTCGAGAGCCTTGCATAAGGACCAGATCTCATGACTTGACTCTGTTTCAGTATTAGGTTTGACTCAGCATTTTTAAACCCCGAATGACTAATGTAATTTAAATTTAAAACGTATATCTAATGCTTACCGGAGAAACCCATCACAAATGTGTTTTTAAGCGTACAGAGAACACTGCAAGTCTCAGTGATAAGTACAATAAACGGGGATACAATTACTTACGTATCTATATTTTAAGCCAGTGATTAGATAACCAGCTGGTAGCTGCACTTGTTTACCTTAAGGGCATCGCAACGCCCCTACTTCAGACTGTTTATGAACGCAAGGGCTGTCACCACCATTTTGAACTAGGGCAGAATCCGTTTTAGCCAGCGGGATGTGGTGGAAAAAAAAATGCCGGTGTGATACCAGTATTTGCACTCCAGTGTTTAAACTGAGTAACACAGTGATGGATCATTAAAATCGGGGGTGCCATCTTAGTTTTTTTTTTTACAACGGATTAAAATCGAATCAGATCTATCAGTTAATATTTGTGAATGTATGCATAAATACATACACTGATGTGACAAATTGTAATATTTCCGTCCAAATTAAATGTGCTCCTCTATCACATAGGTAGCAAGGCAGGTGGATCATTGTTTCCTCCTGCACTGAATGTGCTGTCTCCTGTTTTCTGCTACTTGCTGGTGTGTTTCTCCATGACAGTGCATTTCTCCACCATCAGCCCTTCTCTGGATTAAAACCTGGGAAAAGAAGGGTTTTCTAGAGCAAATATATGTCGCAGTGCCCCTTAAAATCCCTGTTTGCCAATCTCCAGACATGATCTGGGAATGCTGACAGTCCTCAACGGACACACCAGCTCAGACACGCACCCCAGAATAATAACTAATAACCCTAGACCATCCACAGAATATTTTCAGAAAAAAAGGAAAAACTAAATAACCTCTGCCGCACAATGACACATCAAAATCTTACCTTTTGTATGTTTACAGGTCAGTGAGGCTTCTGTTTTTTGGGCTGCTGGGTGGCTCCTTGTTGCTTCCAGTCCAGCTTCTCCACAGCCCTGTTTCAGCTCTTCCACTGTCCCTGACTCCCCACAACCAAGCAGGCAGCCACCAGGCAACACTACACCCTGGGTGGGTATAGCCAGATGCGTTCTGTGGCCTGGTACAGAATGGATCGTTGGGGGTTGGGGGGGGGTGGGATCTGGGTGTTGTGTGCTCCACAATCCAAAGGCAAAATGGCTCTGTTGATTGACTAGGGCAGGGATGCTGAGTTGCACTGAGCCAGTGACATCATCACTGAGAGAGGCAGCAGCATCAATGCAGCAGAGAGAGGGGAGGGGAGAGAGAACAGTGAGGGAGAGACATCCCATGGGAGATTTGTACACACACACATACAAAAAACAATTCTAGATTGTGGCCCAGGCTTGCTAGGAGGATCATACACCACACTGACCAAAATAAATATATATTTTACAAACATGGCAACAGAAACCCATCATTCATGTTGGTGAATTGGGCTTTTGTTATGTATTTGTAATCCCCAATAATAAACAATGCAGGCCATTGTTCCATGCATTCAGTCAAGTTGTAATGTCCAGTCAGGCTATGAAAATGGTTAAATGTGCTTCCTCAAATGAATAATAAAACGTCCTTTATGATAATACTAAAATATGAACCATGGGGATTAAAAAGAAAACAGTTAGAATGATACCATTGAAACTTTACAAAGTACCCGCATGTATATATATATATTATCTGCAGCCTCTTCTGGTACATGGTAGCTATTTGGTTCTCAGTTAATTCACCCCTGACAAATTGTGACTTTTAAATAAAAGTGAGGCCAAGAGCTGTCACCTGATAAGATATGTCTTTATCTCTTAATACTTCAGAGAGCTTGGATCTACTAAGGAGAGATTATTTGCACACACTTAGCATATAGAACTAAGAGTTATGGGTTGTCTGTGGAGATATATATTCTCAAAAAGATGATATTACATTTTGCACTTACTTCTGGTCAGATGTTGTTAATCCATGTGTGTGTGTTAAGGGCGCACTGTGATGTGTGATTGCAGGTTGCATGTGCCTTGGTAAATGTGTTCCTCTGTGTAGTGGGCAATTCTTATTGCTACTCCTGTCTTCCCCTTGAACTATCTTCTTCCACTTGGAGACATTGTTAAGAGCACAAAACCTTTTCACACACTCCAGCCTTCAGCGTACATGGGTGTTTATTACATACGTGAAATTTGTTGGTACTTCAACTTTGGAGTACAGATCTACAGATATTTTCCAGGATGTTTACATTGCAGCAGTTTAAGTTTTCCCATTCTCGGTTCATTTTACTGTAATAAGACCTGTTAGTTCAATAAAGTTGTATACTTCCATGCCATCTGTTTCCAAAATACCTTTTATCATAATATCATAATCACAATAGTAATATTATGAGGACCAGCTGTTGGCATAACTGATTATTCAAATGAAATCATAGCTATTTTCTAAATACAACATTAAAAGTAAATGCACATACTGTACTTCCTTTGATTGTGATTTTAAAACAACAAGAATTAACATCTAAACATTATACTAAAGCATTTCAGTGTGATTGAAAGTTTAAGGGCAATGAATCCTCATTCTTAAAGTAAGACAAAAGCTCACTGAACTCACAAATGAAAGCATATTCATATAAACTATGAATAAAATAAGAAGAATATACCATCTCTTAGAAGCACAGGTGGATGCTGCACATTGGTGGTGGTGGAGGGGAGTCCCCATTACCTGTAAAGTGCTTTATGTGGAGTATCCAGAAAAGCACTATATAAGTGTAAGCAATTATTATTATTGTTTATAGGCATAGAGTTTTGAGTAAGGAGCACAGTAAGATTAATTTTTATCCTGACATTCGATATATAACATACACATCATAGCTACAATAGGTATGGGTATCATACAGAGAGAGAAACCATTAACTGCAGTGACAAAAATAATGCGAAACGTGAAACTTATTTTAGGTAGGAAAGAGAAAGCTGTCTGATGTTCGTGAATCCAGAATAGAGGTATACCAGAATACCAAGGTATGTTAAGTCTTGACGTGGAAACTGATTTATATTCAGATCTGAGAATCATTCCAATATGACAGCTGATACATAAAGATTGTGGCACCACGGGCTTGGGAGATCCTGCAGTACCACACTTGCTCCTTGCTAGAACCTTTCCCAAACATATATGTTTAACTCAAGCTATTTTTGTTCGCCTTCCTTTTTTCAAGTTCCATAATAAAGTGTCCTATCAAATCTATTTGTATGAGGAATGTCTTATTCTCATATAAATACATCATCCATTCTGCTCTGGATTTAACTTCTGTTTTGTTGAATGTCTAATATATATATATACAGTAGTATTTAGATTAGCAGTGGAAACCTGATTAAAATTAAGTATTTAATTAAAATGAGAGTTTAAGTTTGTTTTTAAAACGGAAGTTGTTGCTATGTTACAGTAGATTTATAGGTAGCCATTTAACAATAGAAGTTGGATGTTATGTTGCTATTGAAATGTAGCATATTAGTCTATATAGCACTATATAGCACTAAAAATAAAATAAGTTCACAAACAGGCACACTGAAAGTGTACACTATAGAATACGTATATTGCCCCACCTTTCTAAAAAGGGTAAATGGAAAAAAACAATTATGCATAGGTCTACCCCTTTAAAGGAGGCTGGCAGATCAGTCACACTGAATGGTTAAATCATGACGTGCAAGCAAGCCTGCGTCTGCAGTGTGGGAATGAGGTGGATCCATTGTTGTGGAGGTCCACTCACAATACAGGGGAGTGAAGGGTAGCCGAGTCTCCAGCAGATCTGGAAGGTGCCACAACATGGCAGGGGTATGGTTACGTTTCAGCCTGATGAAACACAATGTAATTTTACTGCTTGTGGACCTTACTCTCTACGCAGTCCTGTGTCTCACTACCTCCTCTCAGAGACAATTAATATCTTTAGATGATTCAAGCAAGGGAAACATATCAGTGCTAACATCCAGGCTCGGGTATGCATCTGCAGTAATATTGGATGCAGAAGTATCTGATAGCAGCTCTGTCCTTTGTTTCTAAATTGAGCTGCAAGAGGTATATTGGGTGCTATAGATCAACAGCCTGTAAAGAAGAATATCACAAATCAGTGGAAATTTTGTAATAGCGTTGAGTCTGTTTTATTAAATAAAAATTGTGAGAATCCTTAGCACTAACTTATTTTACTAGAAAATCTTCTGCCAAATATGGTATTGTGCATCTTAATGCCACACATTATGTAATTCGTCATGTGTCGTCAGAAATGATAAATAATTAATGACTTTTAGATACATCATCTGTTACAGATGGAGGTTATGAAGATGGTGAAATTTAGGAATTGACCAAGCAGTTTAAGATAAGATAAGATCACTTTATTAGCCACATACAATTCCTTGCATTAGTC